ACTTCTCAGTTTTAGATCCGGGAGTCCTTTTGCTGATCATCTAAGGGCACCATTAGTGAGTCCAGTGAACACATAGGAAACCACCTAAGAAATAGCACAGAAAACCTCCTCAACCCCTCCTATCTATGCTAGAATGTCCTCGACTCTGTGACTGGTTCCCCCCATTTGCTATCTGTCACTGAGGATGGCACAGGCCAAAGGAGTCTTTACTGGCCTAACGCTTGGTTTATAAAACTGACTTTGAGTTAAGGCTAGAAATACCCTGCCGCTCCATCGAAGTTTAGAAATTCCTCGGCAAATGGCGAGATAAGAGACCTCGCCGAGGCTGGTGCACAACAGGGGATTCGGGCTTCACTGTGTATTTAATCACCGAAGGCTCTAGAAGCACGGCTCCCGGGTGACTCCGCTGGTCTGGGGTGCAGCCTGAGCTCTGCATTCTGGAGGGTTCCACGTGCTGCTTCTCAGAGGACCACACTTTAAGAACCCCTGGTGAAGTGAAGACCCAAGGACAGAGGCTAATGCTACCCAAGAATAAGCTCCCACAGCTGCTTTCTGCACACGTTTTGGCCGAGGCTCTGTTGATGCACATTTTGTCTGCCCTTGTCTCTGGACCTGGAGTGTACAGGTTCGGATGGATCACCATCCCTGGTTTGTGACCCACTGTCACCAGTGGTCTATGAATGACCCACTTATTCGTTTTTAATAACATAACAAGCACCAACTGAAACAAAAGCCAGGACCTTGAAAAGAACCTTCATCTGAACCCATCCATCCCACCTCCTGACTGGAGTTGGCCAGTTACGTCTTTCCCTCACCTTGCTTTTTGCAGTTTTATTACGTCTAGAAACTGTGGTACATTTATACAGTGGAATACTGAGTAACAGTCAAGAAAATGAACTCTGCCAACAAACAATAATATGGGTGAATCACAGCAATATAATATTAAGTAAAAAAAAAAAAAAAGGTAAAGCTTGCATTCAGGTGGTACTAGTTTATACCCGAAATATATACCTTTTAGGTTGCCTTAAAGTGGATGTACATTCTTAAATCTTTGTATTTTGGCCTCACCACTGAAGAAAATACATGTTTACAGGAAACGGTCAATGAGTAAAGAAAGGTACCCGGTCAGTTTTCACAGAGAGGATACGACCCTGCTGTGCCCTCCGGGGTTCCCTAAAACGCTCATCTTTCCACCCCAAACAGCACCCCCTGGCTTCCAGAAAACAGCTCTGAGGCGGAGAGTCTGAGAGGAGCAGGCGATCCACACACGAGGAAACAAAGAGCAAACATGCACATGGGGAACGTCAGCTTTGCTCACAACCAGAGAAAAGCAAATGCAAGCATTTGGGAGGCCGTCATTCTGTGTCCGCTAAATTAGCAAAAATGGAGAAAACAGAACCGCAGCGAACGCCGGGGGTAGCCCAGTGAAACTGACGTGTGCAGACAATGCGAGCAGCCGGGTGAAGCAAAAAAATTATTCCCAACAGCTGTACGGCGAGGCGGAGCCGTGCACCACGCACACGGCCCACCCAGACTCATCCCGCAGGAGAAATTCAATGGTAAGAACAGCCTCGAGGGCCCCCGACGATGCAGCGACTCAGAAAACCACAGCAGAGGCCCCACAGGGTGTCACGGAGCTGGGGCAAACTTCACTTTTGAGAAAATGTGCATATGCTATTTAACACGAGAAAAACAAAAGGGATGGTGCTTCTCATTAGCACCACGTGTGCAAGGGCTGCGGGGTCAAGTGCAAGCATGAACATGGTGCGCGCGTGTGGAGGAGGGCATGGGTGTCGTGTCCTCCCTCCTAGGATGACCACGGGGTGGGGCTGCAAACTGTGACCACTGGTTAGGGCCGGGCGCCTCCTACCTTGCGAGCTCTCGCAGCTTTCCTCGTCGCTGTTGTCCTGGCAGTTGTTCTGCCCGTCGCAGATGAAGCTCTTGTCGATGCAGAGCCCATTCTTACAGTGGTAGCGGGCGGTGGAGCAAAGCAGAGGGTTTGCTGCTGTGAAGGGAAGAGAGAGCCGATCACCAGGGAGCCAGCCCGTCCCATGGACACCCCCAAACCTCCAGCCAGCAGGGCGTCCTGCTCAGGAGGCAGTGAGCTCACCTCTGAAGACGGCCGACTCGATCAGAGCCCGTCCTGGGAGCCCGGACAGGCAGTGACCTGGGCAAGACAGGCCTCCCTCCACCCCGTTCCTAAAGCAACTTCACCCGAGCCACCATGCTAGTGTCCTGTAACCATGCCAACACAAGGCTGGTGCCCTGTAACTATGCCAACACAGCCAGAGGGCACTGCCTGGCCCCGGGTCAACCTCTAGGCAGTCCAGCAGCCTGAGGGGCCTGGGCCACATGTGAAAGTCCTGGTAGAGTTGCGAGTGGAATGCTTGGTAGGATGAGACACACAGAATAGCAAAGCCAGGTGGAGCTGAGTCGGGGGTCCAGGAACCCCTGCCACCCAGGGAGTGATGCCAGGATCTGGTCCAAGAGCTATGCCAGACCCTCCCGGCTCCCTCCCGGTCAGCATCTTAACTCCTCACGCAT